CTAGGACAAACCCAGCGAGAGCCTTCCGGCGAGAATTTCCCGGCGAGATCCGGCGGCACGACGAGAGCAAACCAAACTCGACGAGAGGAAGAAGAGGTTAGGGATCTTGGGCTGAAGTCTCGAAATTGAAATGGAGAGGAAGAAGACAAGGCAAGGAGAAGAATAAAGCAAACTTTGAAGACTAAAGCCTCGTTGTTGATTCTGGATTCCAAGAGAGAAAGACAAAAACCATGACAAAGCAAAAAAGGAGAAAAAGAGAGAAAAAAGAGATTTTACCTTTTACAGAGGGAGAAGAAGTCAAAGAGTAAAGAAATGGAGGAGGAGACATATATATAGTGGGGGACCACGCACGTTTACCGAGGTAAAATGGTAAAACCTAATTTTTGCCACACGCCTAGCTCACGTACCTCGTAAAGCGCGCCCGAGTCACTATTTATCCCGAGAATGATCCGCTCTTCTCGGAAAACGTGCCGAGTCACTATTTATCCCGAGAATGATCCGCTCTTCTCGGAAAACGTGCCAAGTCACTATTCATCCCGAGAATGATCCGCTCTTCTCGGAAAACATGCCAAGTCACTATTCATCCCGAGAATGATCCGCTCTTCTCGGAAAACGTGCCAAGTCACTATTCATCCCGAGAATGATCCGCTCTTCTCGGAAAACGTGCCAAGTCACTATTCATCCCGAGAAGGATCCGCTCTTCTCGGAAAACGTGCCAAGTCACTATTCATCCCGAGAATGATCCGCTCTTCTCGGAAAACGTGCCAAGTCACTATTCATCCCGAGAATGATCCGCTCTTCTCGGAAAACGTGCCAAGTCACTATTCATTCCGAGAATGATCCGCTCTTCTCGGAAAACGTGCCAAGTCACTATTCATCCCGAGAATGATCCGCTCTTCTCGGAAAACGTGCCAAGTCACTATTCATTCCGAGAATGATCCGCTCTTCTCGGAAAACGTGTCAAGTCACTATTCATCCCGAGAATGATCCGCTCTTCTCGGAAAACGTGCCAAGTCATTATTCATCCCGAGAATGATACGCTCTTCTCGGAAAACGTGCCAAGTCACTATTCGATCCGAGGATGACCAGATCTTCTCGAGAAACGCGCCAAGACATCACAAGAAGATTTGAAGCTCTAAGTATGCAGCAAGGCAATTCAGAGTCTCCGCGAACTTGCCCATCTTGTTTTACGACCAACTAGCCTACGCCCGGAACCGGCCCGTCAAGCTCAAGAAGACTCTCGCAAATCGGACTAAAGGGGGGGACTATTGTTGGATATGGGCCTTGCCCCTTCCAAATTAGAAGGCTTACAAAACAAGATGTGCCAATTAATGAAGCCTCTCACCCAAAAACAGGCCCAGCACCTTCGCAGGGGTAAAACCGTCATTCGCCAAGGAGACACAAAGAGCTTCTAGGTTTCTGTGCAACTATAAATACATTAAACCACTGTTTGGAACGGGGATCGGTCCAGAGGTTATTATCCACCAGACTGAGAATCGTGCCGCGCCCGAACTCGCCCTAGCCCGAGATTCCCGCCGCGACTCTCTTTCTCGTGATTTTGCACTTCTGTTTCGTATTAGTTTCTCAGCTCGGCAGATAGTCTATAACTGCCGCAGCGAGACTTCTCTCTTTGTAACTTCGGATTTTCCGCAAAAGCTAATAAAGAAAATTGTTTCGTATCGTCCCAAAAATCTCGTATCATTATTGTAGCTGCTCCCCCCTTGCACAAACATTCATTACATATCAGAAACATTCATTCATAAACCCTTAGTTCTAGCAAGTAAGAATCTAAACCGACTTAGCAAAGCCAACTCTCACAGTTGGTAGCTTCTCGAAGTCAAACACCGTATGAAATGCCCGTATGAATGGCATACCAAGTATCCTACGCAATCAAAACCACCATCAGTCAAAAGATACTTTTATTTTATTTTGTTTTAAACCAAAATAATTTATAGAAATAATTTATAAAATAAAAAAAACTTACCAGAAATCATAGTTATCGCTGCCCACGAATCTAGTTGTGCAGTCGGAAAGACGAATATACTGAAAAAAAAAACATAGTAAAGAAGTCAGAGAAAAGAAACTACAACAGAGGAAATAAAAATTAATCGGACTTACATCATGTGGGCTGACTGAAAAACTCCTTCCCTCTATTGTAAACGTTACATCAGGCAGCTTCTCCAAATTCTTGCAATCTAGTTTTGCTCCGATTCTCTCTTTGATGTCCGCGATCGAACCCTGTAATTAAATTACATCAACAGAAAACAAAAATGTACAAGTATAATTGATCGTGTGACGATTAATATAAAACTCTTATATTTCCACTAGTTTTTTTTTTTTTTTTTTAAATAAATACCGAAGGACCAACGATGCTTGTAGAGCCCGAGTCAACAAACACTTTGCAGCCTGTAGAGCATATATTAGTGTCTATGGTTCCGAAAAATATGTTGTTCATTTGGAAGAAGAAGTAGTCGTCATCCTCGCGTACGTTGACGTAAAAGTGCTCTCCCGTGTAATGAGCTGTGTTTTTGCCTCCGAACACTATCTCTCCTCCTGCTCCAGAGTCTTCAGACCGCCCGTACCATATGGAGAACATTTTCTCTTCAATCTTGCCTTGACGCATCATCGAATACCAGACAGGACGAGTTTCTGTCGCAGAAATTTGAGGACTCCCAAGTCCCAATATACCATCAAAGGGTGCCTCTCGAAGTGGGTCTTTCTCCGGAGTAGAACGAGCCTCTGTAAAGTACTGATCAGTTATCGTGATTCCACCAATATCGACAGTGTCACTGCTTAGAATGCCTTTGAGATCACCAGTCGCATACCCGAGGGCTACATTTGTTCCTATTATACACAAATACGTTAGATCATTAGAAGTTGTTACACTATATTATATGGTTAGATTTTGTAAATTTATTACCATTTGGTTTGTAAGTGCTTGATTTTTGCGAGTCGTAAAGATTGTGAGGCTCATCGGCCTCCCATTTGTCTCCAGATGGTACCCAAAGATCGCTGCTTCCGGTATCAAACACGACTGTGAAACGTTGCCCAGGAGTACCAATTGTTATATCTCCGTAATAGATATTGTCGTAAGAATTCTCCAACTCCACTCCATGCTTGTTGAATGAAGTATTACCCATCGTCAAACTGATCTTGATTATCCCTTGCACTGAAAAAAAATTAAACAGAGTTTAGTATACATAAATTTATCAACAATGGATATAGTATGTAAAGATCTAACTAAACTATAGCTAACCTGCGTACGACCGGAGGAAGAAGAGATAAAAAGATGCAAGAAGAACTCGTTTGAATTTTGGGCTATTCATCTCTCTTGTTTGTTTTTTTTTTTCTTTTGATTTGTTGCTCTCTCTATTCAACTCAATAGATTGTGTATAATATAGAACTAGTTGAACGGAGTAGTTTAGATCGCATGAATAATGTATTTTTGAAACGGAGTTACGTTCTTTATTGTTCACGTACTTATACATTTATTTATTTTACAATATTTATTTTATTCGTCAAACAGATATGTTAAACAACAATAATACGAAATGGATACATACTCCAAAAAAATAAAAATAAAAATACAATTGTGCATGTCTACTGTAATTATCATGCCAACAATTTGGTACACGTTATATATCATAATAGCAATTAGCATGTTAGCAAGATTGGACGTAATTTACATGTGTTAAAAAGTTGTGAATAGTCGATAAAAAGACAGCAAAAGTTTTAATCTATTTTACGTTTTGTATTCTAGCATGCATGGTTTTATAACTACGAAGTTTATTTTAAATATTGAGATTTATTTTCACAATGTCGAGTAATAATTTATGTCACCTTAAAATAACGTTCATTCAATTTATAATCAAAGTATTATAGTATCTCGAACAGGCAGCATGGGTTGGCATATAAAATCAAATTTGAAAATTCAATTTCTTTTTTTTCCTATTTAATTTGCTTTATTCAGTTTAGTACCTTCAACTCTCTTTCATCAGAAAATTATTTAAAATCCGCTTTTAAATAGAAAATGCTATGATTCAGTGAACAAGGATTTTAATTGTTGATACTAAAGCAAATCATTTATTCGCAAACAACCAAAAACCTATAGAAAGAAGGTAAGCACTAAGCACTACTCCTCTATTTACTAGATTGTCGACGCAGAAAGATACCTATAGAAAGAAGGTAGTCTGTAATGTGATTGCTCTATTATTTTCTTAAACTGGAAAGTTGAATTGTATTGCATTTTTATTATCGTTCTCTCTTACATAATAACTTTAGAGTAATACTGCATTTTGATTGGCTGGCATATAAGAGATCATGCAATAAAGTCTTTATCTTTCAGACTTTAAATAGGATCCGGACGTAGAAACAAAAAGAAGAAGATAAAAAAGCTTACCGAGAATAAACGTACATCACTTTCACATAGTGGCGAATCATACGACGAGCATAGAGTATGACTTTACGATGACTGACACTGACATATTAATTCCTTATATAGTTAAGGAAAAATGTAAAACTTTGTCTTTGTCTTTTCTGCAGCAACTTGAGTTTCAACGAGTAATTTAGAGGTCACTAGCCTTTCATTAATTTTCCACTATGAAATTGGTTAGTGCGCTAAAGAGAGAGAAACCGCATAATGCGTTTTTGACCAATTAACATTACACCTTAACCTTATGTATATGTAATGTACATGGACATCATTGGACTGTGGATATTAGTTTTTTCTTCTTCACTCGGTTGAGCATGTCCGTCAACATTATTATTTATTGAAATTTACAAATTAATGATCTAAGTTACAAAATGAAAACTCATAAAAGGAAATATCACAAAATAAAATTGCGATATATTTTGTATAATAATGGAATGTCATATTAAAAATTCATTAAACGATGCATGATATATATTACATTCACATGCGCGCACTTGCAAAAGAAAAGAGACACAAGTCTTTAAAGACTTTTTTTCTGAAGCATTGAAAAGATACAACAAAGTTTAGATCAACCTTTACGTTCGTAATTTGGCACAAACCATCGAACATCAAACGATTGGTTGATGGACGAACAAAAACTTTGATGTGGTCTTTCAACCTCGTGTGTGTCGAGATTGAAGACAAACACATCTTTTTCACTACAAACACGATTAACTCTGGAATAATGAGGGGAACGAAAACCACTAAAATATATTGAATTTTTGTTGATTCCTTTGATCGTGTTGGCAAGCACGGTGATACCTTGATCCAGAAGTATTGCCTCTTCTCCCAACGAAGTAATTAGTTGTCTCTCCCACTTGCTATTTGAAAAATCCATCTTGTAGATGTGAAACGACCAAACATCAGAATCACTCCTTGTTATGCTTTTAACTCTAAGGACTTCTCCATTCATCGTGACAACAAGATGTGATCTCTCGATATGCCTCACACCGCCACGGTTTGGAAGATAGCGACGTGGCATTCTCACATCATCTTTAACTTGCGTATCAAACATTTTCTTGGGAATAGCACCCGAAATTTCTAAGACCTTGACATCACAAGAGTTACTATACAAGTAAATCTTATGATCTAAGCATACCATAGCGATAGCGCCTAGCGTGTTAAGACTACAATAATCAACATGTTTCCAACAATAATCTCCTTTTGTGGAATAAATCATATAGTTTCGGATTGACCACATAACTACATAATTTTTGGTTTTATCGTCTATCCATAATAAAGGGAAGTCAATCTCCAGGTTAAATCTGATATGTTCTTCAACATGTTCATCATCATATCGATCATTAATTTTTATACTGAACATATCATCGATGGTTCGTTTAATCTTTAACCTACCAACGAGTGACTCCACAGACGGAAGATTTATCATCTCGCGAGTAAACAGATTCATAACATAGAGATTATATCTTGGATCTCTCATCAAGAGCCAACTTCCATAAATAGCCAAGCAATGACTATTTGCGAATTCATCACCAAGATCTTGAATTCTATACACCTTCTCTTTTTCCTCAAGATTACACAAGAGACAGTAATCTTTACCTTTTTCAGGAAATTGAATCAACCAAGGGATCTGATTGTCTGGTGCTGATTGTCTTGAAGCGCATAGCCAAGATGGACAAACTGATTTAGCTCGTTGGAAATCTGCAAACCCAAGACGTTTAAAAACCATGTCCAAGATATCTGAAGGAAGCTTGGACCAGCCTGATCCATTTGACACCAAAGAAAGAGAGTCCATCGAAAGAATTTTAAAAAAAAAACAAAAAAAAAACAATTGTTTTCTCAATCAATCTAATAGAGAGACATTAGAAACTATAAAATTCCGTGTATTTAAATAACCTAAATAAACCCTAAACTGTAAAAACATAACTTACCCAACTAGCTCCGAGCTAGAAAAAGAAATGTATCCGGCAACAATAAATGTTAACTATTTATATGATTTTTGAAAATAAGATAATTAATGGTTGTCATTAAGTGTTATGTATAGATTATAATCATGTATTAATGTTAATTATTTAATTTGATTTGTTTCTGTCTATAATCCGGTTATCAAAAATAGAACCGGGTTTAGTTTACGAGAACCGGAATGAGAGGTGAGAGAAGAAAGCAACGTAACATCAAAATTCTCCAATCATCTCTACTCTCACGGTCTCACATGTCTTCTTCATCATATGTAATTCTTTTGTGCTTCCAAATTTCTCATCTTTGCACATTGCAATCTAGCGAATTAATTTCTTTCCGATTATTGTTCTATTGAATAATTTATATAATAAAACTATTCCTCATCGAATTATGGAAGAACAAAAATGGACAAAAATATTTACAAATAAAATAACGTACAAGAAAATTTTGAATTAAGAATTCAATAATGAATGTACATATTAATTTAAATTTAAATTCGAAAGAATATTATGTTAAGACTACAATTATAAAAATTGTATATTAAAACAAAAGTTCCAAAAACCAGAGTCAAACTCCTTGACAAATTACTTACTTGCATTTTACGTAATCATTTCATAAATTATATTTGCTTCGTACAAATGATATTATTCTTGTCTATTCCATTATTTACGTTTGAACTCGGTTAATGATTCGTAAGGCTCTTGTCACATGCCTAATGAATCCGTCGCTTAGATCGTTCTCACCATGATTGATAAACACTTGCGGTCGAGGTTGCATTTCCATTGTATTAGGGGTTTCTTAACTTTTTCACTAAATAGTTATACAAACAGTCAAATTTATACAAAGGTTATGTATAGTTGATTCATGAGTACCAAAAAAAAAACATTGGTTTAAAGACACCGCTGTTTCCGAAACGATTTATCTGTCAAATACTCAAATTAATCTATTCCAAGAAAATACACTATTTTCAAAAATGGTAACTTTAAATAAACGTATGTTACAAATTCCAAATGGAAAATCATTATTAGATTCAAATCCGATGATTAAAAATGTGAGTTGTATGCTACGTTATTTAGAGATGAATCTCACACCTAGAAAATCTTTTTTTTATAAATATAATTTAGAAAGGCAGGGGAGTAGTATATGAATAATTTGGATAAATCTCACAGCTAGATAAAATAACTTGAAAAATCTAACACCTTACAAAATAATATGTATTATAATTGGGGGGAAAAAGACCATAGATATATCTACATACGATATATGAATAATTTTTTTTTTCTTTAAAAAAGAAAACCAGATTCATATAGGTTTATTTGATAACGGGAGATTTTTTTTTAAAAACAAAAAAAATATATATATATATATATATTAAAAATAATTAACAGAAAGTCAATCATTATCTAAAATATTAACTAAATTTTAAAATCTTAATTGTAATCATTGATTAATATTTATAAAAATAAGATAATCAATTTTTTTTTCTAGAGATTTAACTATCAATCTATCATACTCATACTACCTCATTCAAAAGGTATTCTAACTCACATGATATACATTTTTATAATATGTATCAGCATCAGAATATATAATTTTAGTTGATCTAAAAATATTGAAGAATTAAATTTATGATATACAAATACATTATGAAATAAAAAAAATAGTAAGAACTTATGATTTCAAAACTTACGGTGAACTATACGAATAGAAATTACTATTAATTCTTAAAACTATATTATCTAAATAGATTGAACAATACATGTACAAAAGCCTTCTAAAAGACCTCTGGATCCAAAATCTTTTGGTTGATTTGGAGACTTGTTATCATCATGCAATTGAGACTCGGAATCCACGACTTCTATAATCTCACACTCACTCATGACTTTAACTCCGGCGGCGGATAATTTGGCGCACTTCGTCGATTATGAGAGAAACCCAATGTCGGGGAACGGGAAACAAAACCAAATATTTCAATTTTCCAATTTGTTTTGGGCTTTCTTGTTAGGCCTTCAATTTTGTTTTGGGCCTTCTTGTTAGGCCCTCAATAAATTATTATACTTGAAAAAAAAATATAAAAATCATTCACCAAATTAATTGTTTAAATATTAAAATTTTAATTAAAAAATTGGAAATTTATCAAAATTTTGAAAATTTTCTATGACCTTTATTCAGTGGATCGGATATCTGATTTAAAAACTGAAATTTAATGTTTTCTTATTTTTGCTTTTCTCTTTGTTATTTGAAAGGTTAAATTTATACAAAGGTTAAAAAACGTCAATTTTAAAAAAAAAATATTGTATAAATGTATTATTGTCAATTTATACAAAGGTTTAACAATTGAAAGGTTAAACTTGTGTTAAAAAAGGTTAAATTTATACAGAGCTTAAAATTTTCAATTAGTACGAACAATCAAATTTATACAAAGGTTAATTAGTTGTTTCAGTACCAAAAAAAAAATACAATGATTTAAAGACACCGCTGTTTCCGAAAACGATTTATCTGCCAAGCTAATTTTTTCATCAAAAAGTGATTATATTAAATAATTTTTAAAATCATAATACAATTGATTTCTTAGCCATGAAGGCGGATACAAGAAATCAGAATAGAAGGAAACAAAATTACAACCATGAGAAGCCAATAGATGAGCGACTTTGTTACAATCTCTTTTACAAAATACAAATGAAATGGTAGTAAATCTTTTGGACCAAGCTACTATGTTCCAAGAAAATACACTATTTTAAAAAAATGTTAACTTTAAATAAACGTTTTGTTAACAAATTCCAAATGAGAAATCTTTATTTACGGAAAACTCCAAAAAAAAAACATGACTTATTTAATATTTATCAGACAATACATGCTTTTTTTTGTTGCCATAAAAATACGAAAACTAATTTATAATTGAAAAAATACATGAACTATATCGATTTTTTCCAGTTTCCCACATACCGTAATTCGATTTTCAACCAATTTAACACAATAGTAAATCAGTTTCTGAAATAAATTTTAGATTTCCAAACTATTTACAATCTATGCCATTGACATTAATTATCTATTTAATAAATAAATTAAATAGACAAAGTGGAGAGATATATAAGAAAAGAAAAAGATGGTGAAGAAGAAGATATCTTGACTCAGCTTCATGTGTTTGATTCCTATCCTAGCCATGTGCATTGTTCACCAACCATAATTTATTAGCTATTCAATACATAAAGAAACGGAAGTTTGATGAGATCAACATAACTCTTATAGATACATGTTTACCTTATCTCTATATAGGTTTATGGATATAGTGGTCCATATAAGTCGTTAAGTAAATATATTATAGTTATCTACTTAATGATCAAACAATATAGAGAAACCATTAGGATATATATGTCTACTTGGTTAAAGATATCTTGATTTGCTAAAACAAGTAGCAATGATATTTTGCTTTGCTTGGTAAAAAATGAGTATATTGTCTCTTTATCTTAATGTATATAATAAGGGACATATACTTTTTGATTGTACATATAAACATGATATACATTTTTATAATATGTATCAGCATTAGAATATATCATTTTAGTTGATCTAAATATATTGAAGAATTAATTTATTATATACAAATACATTATGAAATAAACAAAATAGTAAGAACTTATGATTTCAAAACTTACAGTGAAGTATATGAATAGAAATTACTATTAATTATTATACTATATTATCTAAATAGATTGAACAATACATGTATAAAAGCCTCTTTCACTAGAATAAATGGTTAGATGTTTGCATCTTTTAATTACTCGGAATCTTCTTTTTAAATGCTTGGATATAATTTTTTTTAAATAAATGGTTGACTTCATAATATACAAAACATAGTTTTTAAACAATTTCTTTGATATATGTTTCTAGGAACTCATTGCTCAAGTTTGTAGCTTTTTAATGAGAGGTTGGGTGCAGCAAAATCGATTGTTGTATCAGCTGCAAAAGAAGATGATTAATAAGACCTACAAAAATCAGAATATGGTTTAAAGCAATGAGAGATTCAACAATCTGCTAACTCACAGTCTAAGTTTGAATGGCGTCCTTCATTGTAATTATGCATCCAATGAGTGTAGATGTCCTTCTCAGACCTCCTGATTCAACAGTATCCTCTCTCATAACAAAACCACTTTGCATACGCCCCATACTCAGCAGCAGTCCACTCTTCACGATCATTCAAGTCAGGGCACAATTGTGGGTTTACAGGGAACGATATAGCAATCCTAGCATCCTCAGTATGACTTGCTGAAATCGCTTAGTAATTAGTAATCTCTTCACGAAGACCATTATCATTAGTCTCTTCAACTCCAAAAGAAATGGAGAATAAAACAAAGCATCACACCAAGCACATATAAAAAAAAAGAGTAATAAACAAGGACTAGATAAACAAGACGACTAACTAACAAGGGTTCCAACGTCGATCGCAAGAGCTTCTAGTACAATCAAGCGTAGTCTTATGCTTTTTAACAGAAATTCAAAATCAAAATCAGAATCCAAACAAATCACTGAAATCTTATAAGTTTCTAGTAAACTTGTGGTATTAATATTCTCCACATTCCTCTCAACACTCCATACATTCTTCTCAGTGATCACATCACGGTATAACGATAATACTTTCAGGGGAAACTAACCAGTAAAATTAATGTGCAGATTGATCCTTCTATATTTGTATGATGCTGGTATGCTTTGTCTTAAAATATTTTTGGGGGGTTTTAGATTCTTGATAAACACAATATAAAAAGAAAGGAAAACCAAATTGTGATCTATTTGAATAAATTCTCTCCCACTAGAATAAATTGTCATCCTATATATATATATATTAATGAATTGTAGCATGTATATGTTTACATTTGATATGTCTGTCTTAAGAGTTTATCTTTATAGTGAACGTTGGTTTTATATCTCTATTAATTAACATGAAAAAAAACAAAACAAAACTTTACTAGTGATGAGTTTTACTCCATATTTTTTAGCTTTAAATTACAAAGAAAACGAAAATAGTAATAATATTACTAACACTCAACTCAGAATCTACTGACAACGATCACCAACTCATGATTACAAAAACCCTCTTATTCCAAAACTCAATAATCACAAACCAACTCGTGACTTGCCGTACTTCCCTCCACTCATAATTTACCAACTCTATCGAATTCTTAGAATTGTTATCACTGACTATCACAAAAGTACGGGAACCCCAAGTCCCTCATCATCTTGCACACCCTTAGAGTTCACATATACGGTTTTAATTAATGATTATAAATTTAGATTAATTAATTGATGAAGTCATATCTTTAAAATGTTCTCTTGTCATTATAGAAATGAATTACTAATATATTATCGAGTTATTCGTTTTTATACCATGTATTAAATCGTGTTCTCTAATTTCGTATTTTCCCAAATATAGTATTTTCCAAGAAGAAAATAAATCTTTCCTCACGAGGATGTCATCTTCTTCTTCCTCTCTTCTTTATTGATGAAACTATCTCAAGAAGATTCAACCAAAATCATCAAAACTCCTTCTATTGACTCCCTGAAAATAAATCCCTAATAGGCCATATGGATCTTTCCCCGGAAGAGCTTCAATTTCTCAACAAAAGAGGAATCTTGCATGAATCAACATCGATCCCCAAGTATTCCCCAAAAACCTTCTACCTCATAACCCTAACCCTAATATTCCCTCTCTCCTTTGCAATCCTAGCACATTCCCTCTTCACACAACCAATCTTAGATCAGATCGACACTTATCCACGAGCCGATCAAGCTCAAACACAACACGAATGGACCATTCTCCTCGTTTTCCAATTCTCCTATTTCATCTTTCTCTTTGCCTTCTCTCTTCTTTCCACAGCTGCCGTAGTCTTCACCGTTGCTTCTCTCTATACGGGAAAGCCAGTTTCTTTCTCGTCCACGTTTTCAGCGATACCTCTCGTCCTCAAAAGATTGTTCATCACTTTTCTCTGGGTCTCTCTCTTGATGCTAGCGTACAACACCGTGTTCTTGATCTTCTTGGTCACGTTGATCGTAGCTGTTGATTTACAGAAGGTAGCTTTAGCTGTGTTTTCGTTGGTATTGATCTTTGTTATGTTCTTAGGCGTTCATGTTTATATGACGGCTCTGTGGCATTTAGCTAGCGTAGTTTCTGTTCTTGAACCGGTTTATGGTCTCGCTGCGATGAAGAAGAGCTATGAGTTGCTTAAAGGAAAGACTATTATGGCTTGTTCGATGGTTTTCATCTATCTTGTTCATTGTGGATTTATTGCTGGAGTTTTTGGAGCAGTGGTGGTTCGTGGTGGAGAAGATTACGGGATTTTCGCTAGACTTGTCGCTGGTGGGGTCTTGGTTGGTGTTCTTGTGATAGTGAATCTAATTGGATTGCTTGTGCAAAGTGTGTTTTACTATGTTTGCAAGAGTTTTCATCATCAGGAGATTGATAAATCCGCTTTGCATGATCATCTTGGTGGATATCTTGGTGAATACGTGCCTCTTAAGAGTAACATTCAAATGGAGAACTTTGAAGTTTGATAGATCATTATCATCATCATCACTTAACCGAGTAAATCAGGTTTTGGCAGTTGTATTTGTATACAAGTCTTGTAAGTTTGTAAATTTATCACAAAGTGATTATTTATTCGTTTTACTTGCCTATTCAAATTAAATAGGAGAGAAAATGTATTTTTACAGAGTTTTTCTGTTACTTGCTAGCTACTTCTTGCATTCACATAACAATATAATATGACTATACGTGAGAGAACATTTTGACAAAAGATTATGGTCATATGTTATGTTTGATTGAGCTAATTTGATGATGCATATTTCTGCTTCATATAACAATATGCTTAGGAACTATACAACTTTGATTCCCATATTAGACCTATGGAGAAACAAACAGAGCAATGATGGAGTTGGAACTTCTGATGTTGTTCTTGAGTCTTACTGTAGTCTAGAAAGCTTTTAAACATTATTTTACAAAATCTTTTTCAAATAATACAATAAGTCACACGCTAGCTATATATACCATCATCTTTCATTTATGTACGTAGTTGTTAACGTATGGAAGTTGCATTTACTGATCCTACACAAAGGGCGAATTTCAATCTCAGCTCCTCCCAATTAAAAAAACCTCAATACATTTTGACCGTATTTTCTAACACAATCATTTACCCTTTGGTAATTTAGGAATTTGTCCCAAATCCTTGAAAGTTATCCATAATGATCTTTCTCTTAAGTCTTCTGGACGATGCTGATTCGATCCGGGATCCAACAATGCAACAATATTGCACGTTATCAATATTCTCAAGCCGAATTTGAAGCCGCGCACCGAAACGCATTCACTGTCCTACCACATCCCATTCAGTTACTTTGGGTTTGTAAATAACACTTTTGGAGATATGGCGTACTAGTAAGCGGTGGCGAGTCTTTGCCGTTCGTGGCCATGGTTGAAGGGTTACTTGAAGCCGACGTCACATAGTAATTGGTGATTTGAATCCATTTTATTAACGTATTTTGTCTTTCTACATTGTTTTTATTCGCATTCTTCGAATCTTATCTTTCTCTTTTGTTATATATATGTCATATCTTTTGTTATGGAAGAAAAGCGTATTATTAAACGAAAATGTAAAAGTAATAAATGTATATAATATGTTAATTACCATATTGCATATCTCCTCCAATATATCTGTCAATACCTTATATAAGAATATATAGATATATCGTATAATAATAAGATATACGTGACAACATACAGAAATATATTAAATGAAAAAAGCTTCAGCTACCGATATTATTCATTTAGAAGAAAACTTTTGAAAATAGTGAAGAGTCCCTTTAGTACATGCAATAATTCAAATTGAATATGGCCTGGATTATTTATAAATTATTATTTATTCTCATGATTGAACCTAATCAAACTGCAAAACTAATGGCCGCAAAAACATATGAATGGTATTGAGTCTATTGACTTTTGTCCTACCCATATAGATATAGTTTTGGTATTTCATGAAAATAATTGGATCTTATGTGGAATATGCGTAACCTGTCATAACATTAGGTTGAATGACGAAGTTTTTTTTTTATAAAAAATCGTCAAGACGTACGTCAACTACTTTTGTTTTTAGGATAGTGTATTTCCCAGTACGATAATGTTTAAACTAACATTTTCAATGATAAACATTCTAACGTATACAAAAAACGAAAAATTGACGTGATAAAATAGTGTTTTTTTCAAACTACCAATAAACGTTAACGTATCATTGATGTTCATAGAGAAAATAATATGGATTCTTATAAGAATTCGATCCCCTCACCGATTGTACCAATATTAACACAGAAATGTGAGGTTCGCATATTTTTTAGTCACGCATATATACGCGCACACAAGACATCTATTTGCTTATTTGCGTGCATGTAGGAGTTTTTGAGAGTGTTTTTATATATATTGTGCCATATAAATTTATACGAGACGTTAATTATATTTAAATAAGTCGTTTATAGTTAATTATATTTTGCGATACATCATTTATACTTATTTAATAATCAATCAATCAAATGTATTATCGTACTTTCATCAGTTATAATATAAGTAACGAGAAATTTGCAGACTAAAAAAAAAAAAATTTGCAGACTAATTAAAATAGGTATGTCACTATCATCAGTAGTTAAATAAGAAAGAGAATTATTAATAGATCCGATAAAGAAAACGTTTTCTTAACGTGGGTACTGTCTTCGACCGACGATAGTTAAATTATATTTTGTCTTTGTAATATTGAATTTTAGTTTAATTGGTTAAAGAGAGCTATGATAGTTATTCCAAAGTTTCACATAAAAATGTTTTATATAATATAACAATTAAATGCTTAATCTCATTCACGTATCCATGATCAAATTTTTAAATAATTATAAGTCAACCTACTTTAGATATGTATATATATATTTTAAACTATTATGAGTCAATGGCGTTAATATTTTGATATTACAATTAAACTTTATATGGAAATTAATTAATTTACCATAGGATATATATAATATGTATGGCTAATTGTTGTATAATAATGAGTCAACACTGACATAATTTGTAATTTAAGTATTGTTGTCTATATGTCAATACCCAAGTTTAGAAACTTATATAATACACGTACATTGTAGGTAAATAATCTTGAAATGGTGTTTTCTATTCTTATGTAGAAGAAGCAAAATTTGATAAAACATTCTACGCATTAAATAGTCCACAGCTTTACAATTATGAGCCGTCACTTTCTTACAAAATCAAAAATAATGAATATATTATCAGGTACATGTATCGAAAAGGTTGTGCGGCCTGCGTCAGGAAACTCGAAAAAACAAAACAAAGAAAAGTAAACAACAAATATCCAAACCAAAACAGTGGAATCGAATAACGAAATTTAATTCTTTTTCTATCGAAAATTCGGATATATATCAATATAGCATCATCCTATCCTATGTTGTCGCATTCTCAAAATTAATGTAAATGCAAGAAAGTAAAATTGTATAAGAAAAAAAGAAGAAAATAATATGCCATAAAAAGAAAAAAAAGAAATCGAGATTAACTGCTCGTGTCTCTCTGTGCCACTCGTCTTCAGTTTTGTCAGCGTCTTCACATGAGTTCTTCTTCTCTATAGATCTCTTCTTCTTCTTCTTCTTCTTCTTCTTCTTCTTCTTTCTGTTGTTGTTGTTCACTGGTGTCTTTCTTTTGTAAAATTATCTAAAAACAAGGAATACGGAAAAGAAAAAAATACCATATTCTTCAAAAAGCCGTGTTCTTTTCGCGTCATTTGATTGACTGATTCTGTTCTTTTTTGTTTTTTCCAAAAAAGTATTTTTTCATAAAACAAAAAGAGGATCCTTTATTACACAAAAGAAAATTGTTTTATCCAATTTCATCAGAAAACAGAGTTGCTCTGTTGTAATAAATAACAGCGAAGAAAAAGAACTCGACTCAATTCATTTACTTAGAGAAGAAAAAGTTTCGATTTTTTTTTGTCTCGTGTCAGGCGAAAATTTCTCCAAATGGTACTCAGATTCTAGGCTTCGACTAGTTTGATTCGGGCAGGAATCAGTTTACGGGGATCTTCGAGTTCTGTTGTGTTACAAAAATGGCGGAAAGGGTCGAATCCTCTGTTACAGAAGGAGAAAATACAATTGAAGAAAGAGAAGTAGGAGCTATGTGGGAATTAGAGAAGAAACTTGATCAACCCATGGATGAAGAAGCTAATAAGGTCAATAACATGTATAGAGAAAAGGTATACACACTTTCTCAATAGAACTCGTTTCAGACTATGATTCTGTTGTTTTTATCCTGACGCAATTGAGAAATTTCAGGTTTTTAAATAAGGATCCTCTGTTTTTTTGTCTTTTTTTCATCAGTATTCAATTTGGACGATTCTGAGGCTGTCGTTTCAAAGTCTAGGAATAGTTTATGGAGATTTGGGTACTTCTCCATTGTATGTGTTCTACAATACATTCCCTGATGGTATTGATGATAAAGAAGATGTGATTGGAGCTCTTTCTTTGATCATTTACTCTCTTTTGCTTATACCTCTCATCAAGTATGTCTTCATTGTCTGCAAAGCTAATGACAATGGTCAAGGTAATGGTTTATACCGCGAGCTTAATCGATGTTTTGAAACCATCTTGTTTTGTTTATACATTAATCAGATTGATCTATGTTGTTTTGTAGGTGGGACTTTAGCGATATACTCTTTACTTTGTAGACATGCCAAAGTGAAACTGATCCCGAATCAGCGACGGAGCGATGAGGAGCTCACGACTTATAGTCGAACTTTATCCACTGAAGGGTCATTTGCTGCTAAAACCAAGAAGTGGTTGGAGGGTAAAGAATGGAGGAAGAGAGCTCTTCTGGTCATTGTTCTTCTCGGGACTTGTATGATGATCGGTGATGGTATCTTAACTCCAGCCATCTCTGGTAAGCTTCTTTGCTTTCTTTACCAAAAAGATGATAGGTTTACTCGAACTTTTAGTTTACAGAATCATTTTCTTGCAGTTCTTTCGGCTACTGGAGGGATCAAAGTCAACAGACCAAAGATGAGCGGCGGTAACATTCACCGCTCTTTATGTCACTTGAGGCTTCCCATCGGTTTAAATTTTGCTTACTTCCCATCCTTTTATTTTTCAGACGTCGTTGTGCTTGTGTCTATCGTCATTTTAATAGGATTGTTCAGTATGCAACACTACGGTACAGACAAAGTCGGATGGCTCTTTGCGCCTATCGTGCTTATCTGGTTCCTCTTCATTGGAGCCACTGGGGTATACAACATTTGTAAACATGACACAAGCGTGTTAAAAGCCTTTTCGCCCACATATATATACTTGTACTTCAAAAGGCGAGGTCGAGATGGCTGGATTTCGCTCGGAGGCATTCTGCTCAGTATAACAGGTTAACTAGTAATACCTTTAAATTAATCTCTTTAAGAGATTCATTTTGATGTCATCTCAAAATGTATCTTCTTGAAAACTGTAGGCACGGAGGCATTATACGCAGACATTGCTTATTTCCCGTTACTAGCGATACAGCTCGCCTTTACATTTTTTGTGTTCCCTTGTCTTCTTCTAGCATACTGTGGACAAGCTGCGTATCTTGTGAATAATACGGACCACTATAAAGACGCGTTCTATGCATCTATCCCGGGTTAGTCCAAAACCTGTTTAAAGCTTTTACTTGTCTTGAAGTCATACATAGTGCTCTTACAAACCTCTGAAACTCTCTTTTGCTTGACTCCACAGACAGTGTATATTGGCCGATGTTCGTGTTCGCGACAGGAGCTGCAATCGTTGGGAGCCAAGCTACGATATCAGGGACTTATTCGATAGTCAAGCAAGCTGTAGCTCATGGATGTTTTCCTCGAGTTAAAATTGTTCATACCTCCAAGAAGTTCATCGGTCAGATCTATTGCCCTGATATTAATTGGATACTCATGCTAGGCTGCATCGCGGTCACTGCTAGTTTCAAAAATCAGAGCCAAATTGGAAATGCATATGGTAAGATGTATAAATAATCATTTTGGTTAAAGTTATATGTTAAATAACCGTTCTAAATTAATAATCATATGAATTCTTACATAAGACTTTTTTGGTTATCTATGCTAAGAGAATCTTATGTTATGATAATGATAATCTTAAACCTTTGATTATATGAAAACGCTTACTTTTCATCTGACTGTCTTGGTATCTTTGTGAATTTTAGGGACCGCGGTTGTTCTCGTGATGCTTGTGACCACAATACTAATGGTGTTAATCATGCTTCTCGTGTGGCATTGCCACTGGATCCTTGTCCTTATATTCACCGTTCTCTCCCTCTTTGTTGAATTATCTTACTTCTCGGCTGTGATCTTTAAGATCGATGAAGGAGGATGGGTTCCGCTCATCATAGCAGCGATCTCTCTTCTCGTAATGTCAGTATGGCATTACGCAACAGTCAAGAAATATGAGTTTGAAATGCATAGCAAAGTGTCCATGAGCTGGATACTCGGCCTCGGTCCTAGCCTCGGGCTCGTCCGTGTCCCTGGGATCGGGCTAGTCTATACGGAATTAGCGAGTGGTGTCCCTCACATTTTCTCTCACTTCATTACCAACCTCCCCGCAATTCATTCAGTTGTAGTCTTTGTCTGCGTCAAGTACCTTCCGGTTTACACCGTCACTGAAGAAGAGAGGTTTCTTGTGAAGAGGATTGGACCAAAAACATTCCGAATATTCCGCTGCGTAGCCAGGTACTGTCCTTTCTTCTTCTCTATACATTAGTAGGGTTGTTTGATGGCCTAGACCTCTCCAGCCAGGGAGGTTTTGAGCCAGACCCTATTCAACCTACTCTGTTTTCATCCATGATTATATTTTTTTAGTCCCAAACTTGACTTTGGTCTGCGAAACGGCCTAACCTTTTTTTTTTTTTTTACAGATATGGTTACAAAGATCTACACAAGAAAGACGACGATTTCGAAAACAAATTATTGAATAGCCTCTCCTCATTCATTCGACTCGAAACAATGATGGAGCCAGCTTCAAACTCAAGCACCTACAGCAGTACGTATTCTGTCAACCATACACTAGAGTCCAGAGAAGACTTAAACCATAATAACAACAACCACCACCACAATAGCTACAACAACAATAACAACATTGATATGTTCTCATCGATGGTGGACGACACAGTATCAACTTTAGATACGATAGTTCCCGCTGGTTCACCGCATAACGCGCTGAGTTTCAGTCAGGCAAACACAATAGAGGAGGAGGAGGTGGAGGTGGATGAGTTGGAGGTTCTAAAGAACTGTAAAGAATCAGGGGTTGTTCATATTATGGGAAACACTGTGGTGAAAGCAAGAAATGGATCATGGCTTCCAAAAAAGATTGCCATTGATTATGTTTATGCATTTCTTGCTAAGGTTTGTAGGGAGAATAGTGTTATCTTGCATGTTCCTCATGAAACCCTTTTGAACGTTGGACAAGTCTTTTATGTTTAGTTTTTTTTTTTTTCGTCTTTGTAAAACAATTACAGATAAAGAGGAATAAAAGGATATTAAATTTAAGATTATACCATAGAAATTGTTGCTGGCCTTGGATGTGTTAAGAAGTCCTAACGCAATCCTCGTCCTGGGCGTTCGGCGTGTGCGGGTTGTTCGGGTCGGTTTGTTCGGGTTGCCTGAAATTCGGTTCTTCATAAATCCCACCGAATTGTACAGATATTGAATTCGGTTCGGGTCGTTCGGTTATCGGTTTAATCGGGTCGGTTACTTGATTTTTTTTAATTCCGAAAATAATTGAATTTTTGTCTATTTCGGTTTATTTAACCCGAATTAGACATATTCCTAAGTAAAACAAAGACCACAACCACAAAAAAACAGCAAAAACCATTACAAAATCAAACATAAGCTGCAAGGGTATGTACTAGTAGCTTAAAGCAGTGTTTGTGAGTTTAAGCTACTAGTACAAAAAAGAACAAACCATTACAACATACAAACCGATTAAAAAGCTGCTAAGCTAGCCTTCTATACCATAGTACCATTGCATTACATCAACAAACCAATCGAAAAATAAGTTAGCGTTTGTAGTGAGTATTGAGATACCAACTCACCAAAAGTTGTTTGTTGTAGATTCACAAAAGCAATGCTAATCCGCATCAAAAAGTTGTCAAATGGGCAGCTTCAAAGTTAATACTATCAACTCCCATTGCTAAGGCTGCTTCCCGCATCAAAAAAGAACAAAACGCAGCTTCCTACGTACCTACATGTGAACATCATAACATAGACTTAACGATGTTAACAAAATATTAACAAAAAACACTAAAACAGTTTTGAAACTTGACAATATAAAGTATGATCATAACCATCTCTTTACCTACGATACTTTATACTTATGAAGAGTCATGGATGAGATACAATTGCATTACGAGAATGAAAACGTTAAAGATCATTCGATAATCTAGGACCAAAACCTTAACCTAACCTAACATATCCAAAATCGAAACCACACTGGCCATAAACAAAATACAAACACCGAAAACCTTAATTTCAAAACAAAAAGTAGAACATAATCCAATTTTGAGAATTTTAGGGTTTAAATTACAATTTCCAATATGATATTTTTGAGTTAGAAAGAGATATTATAGAGCAAACTCTCAAAAAATCAAACAAAGAACTAGCTATGAAGAAGATTAAAGAAGTGAAAAACAAAAGACATGACCTTTACGAGTTTTGTTGTAGAGGGTTGGGTCTCTGAAACTTTTTCGTAATCGATGAGAGATGACTAGATGTAGAAGATTGTAAACTGTAGTAGTTACAGAAACAGAGAATAAGAGATGAGGAGATTGATCGAAGAAGATCTAGAGTTTCTTTGTTTCTGACTTATGAGAATCGCACGAAGCGGAGGCAAAGAAGAACAAAAACAAAGTAGGGTTGCTAATGACTTTAGGTTTAGCCGGTTTAGATTATATATGCCTACTCATTTTAATAACCCGATCGGTCCGATTACCGAACCGAACAAAACCGAAATCCGAACACCATAATTAATTTCACCGATCGGTCTGACTCTATTTCTTCGGTCTACGCCGACAACCGTAAATGTCGGGTTCATCGGGTCGGTTTTTCCGGTTTCTGCCGAACGCCCAGGACGACGCAGTCCAATCACTCTCCATGGCTAAGAAGCCTAAGATTGACATTGTGATCTCACCATGACCATCCCATAACAGTTAGTGTGATGTTTTACAAATCAGACCATGATCATGATATAATCACTTCAAATCAAGATTCCTTCAACTAATCTTTAGTTAAATTTTTGTCTTTTTTATTTGGCCGATTAAGCACGTAAAATCTAAATCTTGATTATTATTTTGCTTGGCCACTAAAGTTATAAACTATAAACTAATATCCACTTCCTCTGTATCACAATGTTTAATTTTTCTAGTTCTAGATTTTAATCATTAATGTTTTTTAACTTACTTTGATAACACAACAGTCAGCATGGTCCAATCTAATTTACAACCACAAGAAGGAAAGACTTTATGTTGTAAAGGTCAACATTATAATTAATCTTCAACTTTTTCTTAGCGAAATTATTCAACTAGTGGACCAATTGAAACGAGTTGAAAATGTCTATAACATGACACAATTGCTCTTTCTTTGAGATTCTTTTGTTAAACATTGTGGCATGTAATAGATTAAGACATTTAAGTAGCTATAACCGCGTTGTAGCGCATTCTAGCAAATTAGGAACCAAACATATTTTATAGTATAAGCCAAATTCTCCTATTATCAAAAAATTATGATTTTCAATATTCACGTCTATAAAAATTTTGGTTTAATAATAAATTTTTTAATGAAGCTACTAATCACTAGTTTTAAGTTCGACCTCGTAAATCGACCGATATGAATTATGTCACTCAAATACAAGTTTTTCGTTCGTTAGGACGTGATTGTCAGAGACTAAATTGAATAAAGACAAAATTTATTCGAGTATTATATAGTTTTCTATAGTTAACTTGTAGGGATTATGCTCATTTTGAGACACAACAAAACCGAGCCAGTTTGGTCATGATATTCAAAGGAAACTTCCCCATGCGAGAGGAAAGAAAGATCTCCATGAGTTACAATCAAAATAATCGTTACAAACTTCTTCACAAGTTAAGTTATAATTAAATATAAAAAATGAACATTCAAGAATATCAAAGACTTATTAAATGGCGGCTATATATAACTTATATTATAAAAGTAACACGTACAAAAAAGGAAGAAAAAGGATTCATAGCCAAAACCATGAATACCACGAACGGCGAATCGTCTCCAACGGGCTACGAGTTCGCCGGAGTTAGCATTAGCGACAGCAAATCTAAACCGCCGGTGATATACTCAGATGGCTTCTTCGGAGGAAGAGACGTGATTAGGATCGTCTTATTGGTCGCGACCGTGACACTTTCTTGTCTATTATTATACAAATCTGCAAATAATCCATTCAAAATGGTGTTGTCTCCATGGAATACTGATTACTATTCTTCAAAAATCATAAACGAGACTTCCTTAGAAAAGGTGAGTATATGCATAAGTTTTACATGAAATCTTTTATATATGGTTTGTTATAAAAAATTGTCAGATTCTATTTTAGACTAGTATCTCTTTAATCTACAATATTCTGTATTTAAAGAGAGAATTTGTCTAGACAAAAAAGAAAGAAAGAAACGATCTCTAGTCTTAAAACGACACATTCACCCTTCAATGTTGCTTACTCTTAAATGTATTGGTGTTTTTACTTTGTAGGCACCAAAGAAGGAACCAGTTTCAGAATTAGAAAGAGTATTAATGAATGCGTCTATGGAAGATAACACTGTGATCATAACGGCGTTGAACCAAGCATGGACTGAACCAAACTCAACGTTCGATGTGTTTCGAGAGGGTTTTAAAGCCGGGATAGGAACAGAGAGGCTGTTGAAGCATGTGATTGCGATTTGCTTGGATAATAAAGCATATGATCAGTGCCTAAAGGTTCATCCTCATTGCTACTTGATTAATACCACGGATTCAAACCAACTCTCCGGGCCAAACAGATTCATGACTCCTGGTTATTTAAAACTCATTTGGAGGCGAATGGATCTTCTTAGACAAGTTCTTGGTTTAGGATACAACTTCATCTTCACGGTACATAATATCTCAATCTTATTTTATTTTTTATTGTGTGCTCCAATTCATAATTAAATGGTATATGCTTTTCAATAGTATTTTTTTTCTTCTTCAAATTTGCATGTTTGAGTGAAGAAACAAATTCACGCACAATCAGTGAAATTTGTCAACTATATAATTTAAATATTAAGAAATGAATGATATAGTAAAAAAATGTAGTACACTCATTGATATACGTTATAGAAAATCTAGATTTACAAGTTTTTGTAGCATGAATAAAATTTCTGACTAAAATATATTTATGTCGACAATAGAGAGCACCGTTGATATATTATATATAGGATTTTTCTAAATTATTGTCCCTTTGTTAGATGTTATTTTCCTCGAGGGCTTTAGATTTGACTATCGTGATTCATTGTTTTGTTTTTAGCACACCTCTGACTTCCAAGTTATACGTTTGCCTTCCCTTGAATTATATTTGATTCATTTATATGATGTGGCTGGCTAGGACTCGACGGTAAATATTAACTGAGGATTATGAACCATATACACAAAATAAATATTAAGTAATCAACTAATCATCAATATTCAAGATTGTAACGTTTTGTTTGCGTGTGTGTGTGTATAGATGTTCAAATGTCAATTATATTCCGACAGAGGTTACGTGATTAAGTAAATATGTTGACAAAAAAAATTATATATATAGATTAATAGAGTTCTGTATATAATAAATTATATGCAAATTCATGATAAGCTTGTTGTATATGTATAGGATGCAGATATTTTGTGGCTTCGAGACCCATTTCCAAGGTTTTTTCCGGACGCTGATTTTCAAATAACATGCGATGATTATAATGGAAAGCCATCGGACAAAAAGAATCACGTCAACTCTGGATTCACATACGTCAAGGCAAGCAACAAGACTTCGAAATTTTACAAATATTGGATCAGATCGAGTCGGAAGTTTCCTGGTAAACACGATCAAGATGTGTTCAACCTCATAAAAAGCGATCATCACGTCGAGAAACTCGGGATAAAGATGAGGTTCTTCGACACGGTTTACTTTGGAGGGTTTTGCCAGCCGAGCAGGGACATCAATGTGGTCAACACCATGCATGCTAATTGTTGTATTGGTTTGGACAACAAAGTGAATAATCTTAAGGCAGCTCTTGAAGATTGGAAACGATATGTGTCACTAAACACGACCGTACCCGTGACTAAATGGAATATTCCGCCAAGGTGTGGTTATTGAAGGCCGTAAGCCCGTAAGAGTAGATATACGAATCTAGTTTCGTACGTTAAATAGTTTCATTGATTATTGTTTTTATATAATCTAGTGTTGAGCTGAGATAGTAATAGTACGTCTTTATTTTATTTTTTGAAAATATCAAAGATCTAAATTTATCATTTAATTATTTTCTTATATATATGAAGGAAAACCTCTAATTTATATTTAACCTTTCAAGTTATAAATATCCGGATCTATTAATTAATACGAGATTTATGACATGGATTTTCTCTTATACTTATATTTATTTACAGAAATTGGTGAAATGTTCTTCTCTTATTTTATTTTTTTTTGTTCTTAATGAAAGTAGTGCAATGTTCACATAAGTCGAGTATTATTGTTACAGGACCAAGTTGTTGAAATTTGCCGAACATGGTACGATCATATAGCAAGACAACTGTCCAACTGAAAACATTGGCCCTTGTATTAAATAATCATTAAGTTCGTGTATATAATATACATGACAGAGCAAATAAAATCTCTTAATAGCATGTTGTAGACTGCAGTGTTAATAGAGTAAAAATGTGAAAGCTACGGTGCAACCAAGAAGAAAGAAGAGGATTTTATATTCGGGAGAGGAAAAAAATAAATAATCTTGATGATGACAGGACAACTCTTAACCAAAAAAAAATGCTAGTTCTTTCGTTATAATTTGCCTAGATTACCCTACAATGGCACGATTTAAACCCAAGTAATAATCTAAAACCAGTTGATGAAGAGTATGTATACACGATGTCAGAAATGGAAAAGTCTGAAACCAAACTTTCTGATAAAAAAATCAAAGTGTTTTATCGTACACAGTTTTATTTAGACTAGTCTTTTTTTTTTTTTTTGTAAACGGTATTCGAGTTAGAATAGTCTTATCACTATTAATCGAGTAATCTAGTATTAGCCGACAATTAATACTCACTCCATTGGAGATGAATTTTGAATTCGAACGCTTCCTAGTCTAGTCATTAAACAGAGTATTAATTAATTGACTCATTCACTTAATATAATAATTGAAGAGGAAATTAATTACAGCAGCAGCCACGACTAACCAAAAATAACGTGAGCGTGATCAGAACAGAATTAAAAAGCCAATTGTTGTCACCATAATGGAAGAACTAGTTAAACAATAGTAGTACTAATTGTGTCACTCAATTAGGATAATATAATTTGGAATTGGTATGTTCTCTTCATTCTCTACAAATAAATAAATAATGTAACTTAATAAGAACGACACCCTTACAAAACTGCCAGTGATGACGTTTGTCTTGACCTTTTTTGTACTTAATTATAAGAACCGACAAAAAAGAACAGAGAGATGAACAAAGGAAAAACGAGAAAAACGCTTTGAATCCTACCAAGAACACATGAGCTCTTCTTCGTCTTCTTCTTCTTCATCCCTTTCAAGTTTTCTTGATTTGGGATCTGCCATCGGACAAAAAGAAGTGAAGAGAATCATCTTCTTGTTTCTAGGTTTAGCTGCTTCATGTCTTCTTGTCTACAAAACAGCTTATCCTCTTCACAATGAGCTCGATGTTGACAATCTCAGCTCTCCTCGTCCTTTGCTCGATCAAACCTCCTCGTTTTCTCCACAATCTGTGAGTCAATAGTTACCACTATATATACATTGATCTGTACATGTATATGTTTCGATCTTGTTCTGTCGGAAATGAGTTTAATCTCTTTTTTATAAGATTTTTTAAATCAGAAATTTGTTTGTGGCTTCTTTCAGAGAACAAAATCGATCAGTTTTAGGGAAGTTCTCGAGAATGCGTCGACAGAGAATCGAACAGTTATTGTAACGACTTTGAACCAAGCATGGGCAGAGCCAAACTCTCTGTTCGATCTGTTTCTTGAGAGTTTTCATATCGGACAAGGAACGCAGAAGCTACTTCAACATGTGGTTGTGGTTTGCTTGGATTCCAAGGCATTTGATCGCTGCTCACAACTTCACCCTAATTGCTACTATTTGGAAACCAAAGGGACTGATTTCTCCGGTGAAAAACTCTTTGCTACACCTGACTACCTCAAAATGATGTGGCGAAGAATCGAGCTTCTCACACACGTGCTAGAAATGGGATATAACTTCATCTTCACGGTACTCATCTTCATCATCCATCTCAGTTTCCTTCCTACTTAGCACTCCCTTGGATTAATAATCGTTGATCACGAAATTTATATAAAACTGATGCTTAGAAGATGAGTACATTTGCATTAGCACCTGACTAATTAAATTCATGTAAATATGTAAAAAAGAAATTTAACATGTTTACCTCTAATAAATTGACAAGGCCCAGTTACAAAAAGTAGGAAATATCACAAGATTCACTACTAACATTGTATTCATCAAACCAACCCATTGGTCCCTTATTAAAAGGCTCACCGCTCACCCATGCTAATTAACGGACTAAAGTTTAAATTTCTCCATTTCGACTTTAAATCATTTGTGAATACAATTTTTAGTTGTGATTTGAACCAGTTTTAAAACTATAAATGTCTAAAATTGTAAGAGTATTCGTCCTTTTTTGTTGTAAGAATATTCGTCTTAAATGGTAACAATACATAACTTTCACATGTCATAAGAATTATGTTTAGCATTTAATGCTTACCAACTTATTATTAAAAGGAAAATATTAAATCTAGCAATTATCTTTTCATTATTCTTTTTCTATGAACCAAACCAAATTAAATACCAATGTAACTATGTAGGATGCAGATATAATGTGGCTTCGAGATCCATTTCCTCGATTATATCCAGATGGAGATTTCCAAATGGCTTGTGATCGGTTCTTCGGTGATCCTAATGATTCAGACAATTGGGTAAATGGAGGTTTCACTTACGTGAAATCAAACCACAGAAGCATCGAGTTCTACAAGTTTTGGTACAAATCTCGTCTACAGTATCCAGAGTTACATGACCAAGATGTGTTCAACAAAATCAAACACGAGGCCGTAGTCTCAGAGATTGGAATCCAGATGAGATTCTTTGATACAGTTTACTTTGGTGGGTTTTGTCAAACGAGCAGAGACATAAACTTGGTGTGTACAATGCATGCTAATTGTTGTATTGGATTAGAGAATAAGCTTCATGATCTTAATCTTGTTCTTGATGACTGGAGAAAGTATTTGTCTTTATCTGAACAAGCTCAGAACACAACTTGGAGTGTTCCTATGAAGTGTACGTGATTTGTAAAAAAACTCACATTTGGAATAAAAACATTAATGTATGGCCATATGGGAGAGTTTTAATTAGTTGTTCAATGTGTGTGAAAATTAAATCTTGTGACTTGTGTTGTAAAGAACATTTGGTCCACATATAATTTTTTGAGGTCTTAATTTTGGATTATCATCCATTATTTTTTTTTTTTGTCAAGCTGACTATCATCAATAATGTTGAATACATAATTCACTAACTCCACAGATTCTTTTCGCTCACTGTTATCCGCAGGACAAAAAAGAAAAACAAAAGAATCTTGACATCTGCAAAGAAAAATCTAACATTGATTTTTGTACAAAAGAAGCCAATTCAGAGTCAGAGCTATCACTTTCACATAAAGTCATATAAAGGCCTGAAATGGGATCCACAGATGTACTGTTGGGCCCAAAAAGTTTGCACCCAATTTGTATATTTCTCTTATAAATTTACAAGCCAGAAATCAGATTCACTGCATGGTTTTGACTTTTCCTTTAAGTGGAAACCCTTCCACTAGCTATATTAAGCCATGCATAAAAAAAAAAATACGCTGAAATAATTGGTGGGTAAAAAAACTATTTAGTTATCTTACAAGTCAATGTGGTTTGGACCGGTCTGCAAACCGAATACGCTTGTTGAGTTTATCACAATTTTGAGTGCTTTGTGTCTAATGATTAAAAGAATTAAGTATGTTGGTGTCTGCTAATAAGTTTCTTTCCTGTCTCGATCGAGTGGCTCGCAATTTCATGTGATGTAACATGCGAATATCGTTACCGTCTATATAGAAAAACTTGTGTCAAGTAGTCAAAAGAAAAAGAAACCGTAGAAGTAGAAGACTACGAAACTGTAGGGTTCGGCGAATTTGTCTCGAGTCGCTAACAAACATGCATCGCCTTCCACTATGCTTACACGGATTCCCATTTTTCCAATACATTTTCTATACAAACTATAAGCTTAATTTTTTTTGGTAAGAAAAAAAAAATATAAGCTTAATTTGTGTTTTATATTTTAAACATTGTAATGTTTGGTAAGTTTAATTAAACAATTTTAGTAAATTAATATAACTTTAATGAATTGATTTACTAGAGAGAAACTTGGTCCATTCAATGGCTAATTGGTCAAGAAATCACAAAACATTCTACAATAAATTGAGGATTCAAGTTTCAGAACAATATTATTTGCATTTTATGAAATTAAAAATTTCTAAAGCTCAAGATTGTAGTGTTACAAACTAAATTATATGTGTATTATTGTATTGAATTGTACTATGTATTAGTATTTTTGTTTATTGTCGTGTTTAGAAACCAACACGCGCGTGCATTAGTCCCACACCCAAAACCAAAAGGAAGTGAGTGACGCTAACGTTGCGTCTGGTACGTACGTACTTCCTCAAATTGTTTGATTATGATATGAACTGATAAACACTATTACCCAAATATGTAGTTAATTTAGTTTAATCAGGTTTCTACTTCTCACATGTACACATTACTTACACGGTTACACCAACCGTCGATGATAATTAACAAAACTACTTGGCTACAAATTTCAGGTAATTTTCTAATTATATGTTCCATGAAAACAAGAATAAATTTCTCCAAACTATTTTTTTTTTTTTTAAGTACATTTCATTTAATAAAAAAAAATAATGATAGATTAAAATCTAAGAAACTAAAAGAACAAGATAACATAAAAGGAAAGAAAGAGCCGAATGACAAATCATAAGATTACACGAATTCATGTGAAGCGGTAGAGAAGGATTCACGTGGAAGTGATGGTCTTTTCTTGATAGTATTACTACTATTTGTAACGTATCTCGAAGAAAATGCATAGAACCGAAAGTAATAATCCTCATCATCGGGAAGTTCACCACACGCGCCTCCGTCGAAGTTAAGTGAGTAGCTCATCGGATCGTAGCGGCATTGCAACGAGCTCCCTTGTCTCCGAGCCCTCGTAGCCAGCAACAACCTCCCTTTTCTCTTCAGTTTCCTGATGAGTCTCGCAAGGCACGTGACGCAGCAGTTCGGCGGCGGAGTTGGGACGACCTCAGACTTCTTCTTAGTCACGGCGGTCTTGCCGTCAGGTATATGCCTGGAAAATGCCATTTAGGTGACTGTCGGACACTCGGACAAACGAGAGAGAGAAAGAGAGAGGAAGAGTGTGTTGTGTGTTGTTGAGTGCTATGATGAAAAGAATCTAACTGAATCTGACAAGCGTATGTATGTCTATATATATATACAAGTAAGTTTATATGTACAATCAAAAAGTATACATTATGTCCCTTATTATATACATTAAGATAAAGAGACAATATACTCATTTTTGACCAAGCAAAGGAAAATATCATTGCTACTTGTTTTAGCAAATCAAGATATCTTTACCCAAGTAGACATATATATCCTAATGGTTTCTCTATATTGTTTGATCATTAAGTAGATAACTGAAGTATATTTACTTAACGACTTATATGAACCATTATCCATAAACCTATATAGAGATAAGGTAAACATGTATCTATAAGAGTTATGTTGATCTCATCAAACTTCCATTTCTTTATGTATTGAATAGCTAATAAATTATGGTAGGCACACAATGCACATGGCTAGGATAGGAATCAAACACATGAAGCTGAGTCAAGAGATCGTCTTCTTCACCATCTTTTTCTTTTCTCACGTATCTCTCCACTTTGTCTATTTAATTTATTCTAATCGATTGTATTGGCCCATTGTTTTTGATGGTTGGTTATTTGTTAATTCATTTAGTCTTAAGTCGTAAACACAAATTGAGTATTTAAGGGGAAAAAGAAAATAGAAGAAAGGAACCGGCCCATGTGACAACGTTACATATATCATATCTATGTACTGTTTAGCCTTGCATAGAAATATACGCCCGTTGGTGACTTAAAACAAAGAAATATATGCCAATATAAATTGTGTTTTTTCTTTTCTTTCAATTTATTGCAATTTAAGGACTTCATTGTGAGTATATATTGAACTATGTATTACATTATGTAATCAAATGACATTGTGTGGATCTATTAGATAACAAGTGCACGTATTTTAAAAGATAATAAGTACGAATTCCACGATATATATGGTTGATCATTCATGTATGAACATTTCTGTCCAAAAACAACCCCTTTTAGTGTTTTGTTATATATATTATGTTTTTCTCTCATTGTATCGTAAATATATCATTTTTCATACCAAAACAAAAAACCATACTAAGTCGACCATATTGTATGAATTAGTATTTGTGCTCATAAAGCATATGTATACTTTGTATCCATTGTAAAGAAACGATTATTTAATATCCACACAATCCTTTGAAATAAAGTAAAGTATAAACTATAGTCTTCAACCCTGATCAAAGTCATCATTGACCAAAAGTATGTACATAATTACATTTACACATACACTTAGTGTGTAAAGCACGTGATCAGCAGTTTTAGCACGGCCCATCATTTGAACCATCAAAGATGTTAATAAGAAAATGACTAATTATGCTAAGAGAAGCCAATATAAATATAACATAACATATAGTTTCTTCTTCTTTCTGCTCGAAGACAACTAGTATTATTTAAACGTTTAAAGTATATATATGTAAAAAGAAAAAGAAGATCTAACATAGATCCGTGAATTCATTTACATTCACAAGTTTGAAACTTTTGTGGGAACAATAATATATAGCGTTCCCGTGAGAACAGAGAAAAGTGTTTCGTGTAATATATAATCCTAAAAGTTAGTAAAAATAATATACAAATGGAATGAGTTATCAAACATCACTTGTAAAGTGTATAGTTGTGGAAGCATTATCATCGAATCAAACAATAACTATCACGACTTCATTTGGAAAACCATAATTATCAAAGGTGAACATTCAAACTTTTGTGTACATTATCAAATCCAAATGATGACTATAATTCAAATCCAAATGCAAGAAAGACACTGAATCTTTGGCCTTTTCCTTTGATCATCATAGAGAGATTCGAGAAAAGATTTTAGTGATCATTCAACTTGCTTTGACCTGCAGTTTCTGAAAATCCAATGGCCTTGCCTTCTCTCTTCGGTTTATTACATCTCCAAGCTCTTTGTGAACATCATCGTCGTGGAGCCCATTCTGTCGTCCCCAAACCCACAGGCTTTGAAGAATGGCCTGACAAAGATGTTAGTTTATCAGTAGATACACACATAAGGAATCTGCATTCACCTTTTAGATTTAATCTTGTACTAATACTAATTCAACCCATATTCAAGACATCAGCAATATAGCATTACAAAATCTGTGGCTAAAATATATCATTCATCCTACACCTAGCGTGAAAATATACACAATAAAACTCACAAGTTGCTAAAGATGAATATTAGTTATCTCAGAGGTAAAGGTGGTACCTTTCGTCCTCGAAGCAGAGAGCTGCTATGTCGTAGATGTCTCTGCTTGTGAGAAGCCTATTGAAACAATTTGTTCAATGAATGAGGCAATTTGATATTTCACGAACTAACGTTTAAGAGAAGTTCAAAGGGTCTTAGGTAAAGCAAAATCATAGTGGAAAATACCATCACACCTGACAATTCTGTTAACTATCAGTCTACCGATTCCCATCCGTTGTAGTGAAGGTAAAACCTGGAAGACACTGAGACCAAATTATACATCTTAGCACCAAACAGAAGGTATTAAAGCTTGAGTACACAGGGTAATGAAGCAAACTCCATTATATAAACTGTTAAACTTGTGCTATATACAAAAATACCATTAGATCGTGGATAGAAGCAGTCAAGCCATAATCAGAATAAGCACGACCGAATCCAACAAGCTTTCCAGTGGAAGGAGTGAGAGGTAAAGCATTATGAAGCAAGTCTCCCAGAGAACTCTCATCCTTATATTGTCTCCTAAACTCTGAAGGATACAAAGATGAAGCCAAACTTTCTTCGTCAGTGTACAAAGCCGCATCATGAAGATCCGCGTGACGAGGTTTGCAAAACACAGAGACAACAACATCGCTGTGGGAGATAGCTGTCTGCAGCTTCTTCATGTCAACAATCTTTTCGACGTTGCTGCCATTCTCGGACAAACGATTGCAAGAGTGGTTACAATGTGAAAACAAATTTCTCAATTCCTCTAAATTTATGTCTGTCTTCAACGTAGAGATATATATAGGAATGGATCGAGGAAATGTCGATGCAGCATTATCAGATTTTCTTCTTGCCCACCTCAGTTCCATAGATACAAGAGGAGAATTACCAACACAAACAGCCAAACCCATTTCTTTAAGCGATCTTGATCACAAAGTAATGCACCATCTAATTCAATAAAACAGGACATGGAAATCAAAATCTCACAGTACCAAAAACCTTACATAGCTATCAAACAGTGATATCGTAAAGAGACTATAGGCAAAATAAAATACACATTCCAGTCACGTAATAGCTAAGGAATTACTCAAAGTTTCAATTTTTAGGTTCGAAATGATCAAAAGATAGCAAATTTCTCAGAAACGAGCTCAATCAACATAACAAGACGCAAAATTTCCTAAGAAAACTAACTACCACAAGCTTAAATCTCTTAAGAATTATCTCATCTTTTTACAAAAATCGAAAAAATTCAAAACCTGGGAACAGTTCTGTCAAATATCTCCTAGCAAATCAGCAACGTTTTCCTCCAAGTTCGGATTTTTTCCATCTGCAGAGGTGAAGAATCGAAATATGAACTGAAAACAAAATCAAAATCAAAATGTGTGGCTCAAGACTTTTCCTGGGAAAGAAATAAGAATCCGGTTATCGACAAAAAGAATCCGGTTAGGCTAAAATAACCGGAGGAAGCGGTGAGTGAACCGCGAGTATAAAAAAAGCGAGTACGACGGCGACGACGAAGACTCTTTTGGCCTAAGATCAAATATCCTGCGGAGATAAAAATAGAATCTGTACTCGCCTCCGGTCATCAGTCTCCCCTGTCTTCTTCGTCATGTAATTGTAAATTTCCCTTAAATTTCTATCATCTTTGCAGTTTAGTGAACTAATTTCTGATTTTCTCTATTTCCTACTATAGATGGTTCATTTTGAGTTGCTTAAATCTCTGTTTCAGGGTTTTGTTTAGAACATGAGTTTCATTTTTATTGTGTCTTAGTGTATTGTGTCCGATGATTCGAGCTGAATTTTTAGATATTGGGTGTTTGGAATGGTTGACTTTTCTTTGTTAAGATGATTCGTTTCCATATCTGAAGATGTATTACTGACATTTTGATGGTTTTGTATTGTGGTTTCGCTGATATTTAGTTTCAGTTTGCTCCATTGATATTAGAATGTCTTTGTTCATTGTAAAAGTTTCATTGAAGTCTGCAACTTGAAAGCTGACCATGGTTGTTTCAACATGTATAGTTTGATCAAATAGCTTGGCTTTGAGGGTTGAAGAGTTTAAGTCATTGGGGATTGATTTCGAAATGCCGTCAGGAGAGTGTAGTAATGTGCCGTTGGATGATCATAGGGTTGACTTAGAGATCAATGAAGGGAGAGAATTTGAATCTAAAGAGGAAGCATTTGAGTTCTACAAAGAATATGCTAACTCTGTTGGGTTTACTACCATTATAAAAGCTAGTCGTCGTTCAAGAATGACTGGGAAATTTATAGATGCCAAGTTTGTTTGCACACGATATGGGAGCAAGAAAACTGAGAAAGATGACATTGATACTGGTTTAGGTACAGGTGGGTTTAGCATTCCTCAAGCAAGAAAACGGGGCAGAATTAACCGTTCATCATCGAAAACCGATTGTAAAGCATGCTTACACGTTAAGAGAAGGCAAGATGGACGGTGGGTTATTCGTAGTTTGATAAAAGAACACAACCATGAAATCTTCACTGGTCAAGCCAACTCCGTAAGAGAATTGGGTGGGCGGAAAAAGCTCGAGAAACAAAACGGTGCTATTGTGAAAGAGGTGAAGAGCAGAAAGCTATTAGCTCTAGAGGATGGGGATGTAGAAAGACTTTTAAACTTTTTTACGGATATGCAAGTCGAGAATCCTTTCTTCTTTTATTCTATCAATCTCAGCGAGGAGCAGATTCTAAGAAACGTGTTTTGGGTTGATGCAAAAGGCAGATTGGATTATAGTTGGTTCTGTGATGTTGTATCCATTGACACTACATTCATCAGGAACGAGTATAAACTGCCTCTTATCGTTTTTACTGGCGTGAACCACCATGGGCAGTTCCTGTTGCTTGGTTGTGGATTATTATTGACAGACGTATCTAAATCTGGATTTTTTTGGACCTTCCGGGCATGGTTAAAAGCAATGCATGGATGCCAACCCAGAGTGATACTTACGAAACATGACCAAACGCTCAAAGAAGCTGTTTTGGAGGTGTTCCCATCTTCTAGACATTGTTTCTATATGTGGGATACTCTTGGTCAGATGCCGGTAAAACTTGGTCATGTAATGAGACAAGAGAAAAACTTGATGGATGAGATAAATGATGCTATTTACGGATCTTGTAAGAGCGATGAATTTGAAAAGAATTGGTGGGAGATAATTGATAGGTTTCATATGAGAGACAACGTGTGGCTTCAGTCGTTGTATGAAGATAGGGAATATTGGGTTCCTGTATATATGAAAGATGTATCTCTAGCGGGAATGTGTACAGCTCAGAGATCAGAGAGTGTGAACTCTGTTTTTGATAAATACATTCAAAGGAAAACTACATTGAAAGCATTTCTTGATCAGTACAAGACGATGATACAAGAGAGGTACGAAGAGGAAGAGAAAGCAGGGATCGAGACATTGTATAAACAACCCGGACTTAAGTCACCTTCACCATTTGGAAAGCAAATGGCTGAGGTATACACACGTGAGATGTTCAAGAAATTTCAGGTGGAGGTGTTGGGAGGAGTTGCTTGTCATCCAAAGAAAGAAGGCGAAGAAGATGGGCCTAACAAGAGCACTTTCAGGGTTCAAGATTATGAACAGAATCGTGCTTTCGTTGTGGGGTGGAACTCTGGATCATCTGAAGTTGTTTGTTCTTGTCGATTGTTTGAGTTCAAAGGTTTTCTTTGTAGGCATGCGATGATTGTTCTGCAGATGTCTGGTGAACTTAGTATTCCTTCTCAGTATGTGTTGAAGCGTTGGACAAAGGATGCGAAAAGCAAAATATTCATGGAATCTGATCAGATCGATGTGGAATCAACAAAGGCTCAACGGTACACGGATCTTTGTCTCCGTTCTTTGAAATTGAGTGAGGAAGCATCGTTGTCTGAAGAGAGCTATAACACCGTGACTAATGTGCTGAATGAAGCTTTAAGAAAGTGTGAGAACAAGAGTAACTTAATCCAAAATGTGGAAGAGTCAGAATTGGTTATAGCTCAAGATCTTCCAATACATGACGAACAGTACAACACATATGAGATGAACGGAGACAATAATGTAGCTGACACAGGACAGGTTTTTTCTCTTCTCAGGTGGTTTCATGGAACAGGACTACTAATCTCCTGATCTTGTCCTTATGTCCAGTATTTAGTCTAACCTGGCTTTCTCTTTGTCAAGGAACATTCATTGCAAGAAGTCTGGAAAGTAACTGCTTTGCAAGAACAAAGAAACCGATACTCGATTCTCGATGATTACCTCAGTGCCCAACATGTGTCTCATGAAATGGTATACGAGAATAGTCCTTCACAATATACAAAGGTTCAGTTTCCAAACTTAGTTCCTCTGTGTGATCCACAGGGACAAATCAACCCGATTGCCTCAAATCGCAATGGATATTGTACTGTCCATCCAAACATACACTCGATGGTAAGTGTGTAACCGAGTGTTTTGGAAATAGAGTCTCTGAGAGATATATCGCTGATTCTTTATGTTAAATCTCATTGCAGGGGAAATCCATTACTCATCAAAGGTTATATGGAACTGTAAGTTGTTCTCTGAATTAGTCAACATGACCTGGTTTTGTCTCTTATATGAATTTGAGTAGGTTTGATTAAAGTTAAAATTTAAAAAAATCATGGCAGGAAGAATTAAGTTTCAGACCAGAAGCTATGTATGAAAGACTTGAAGACATGGTAAAAGACCTGAACCACACCTTTTAAAGTTTAACTCAAATTTTGCAGGTGTTTCTCGATTTAGAAAGGGACTCAAAATGGTTTGTGTTTTTTTTCATGAATGTTAGGGAGAATCAAACGCTAGACATCATCCGCAGCAACATTGCAATGCTTCGAACCATCAACACTCCTACAGCAATTTCACTCACTGAGTCACTAACTCTTCCTTTTTGGAGCAGCACTAATTAATTTTGAATACTCTTTTTAATCTCTTACTTTTGATGACAAAAATAATATATTATGTATAGATCATATCATATAAACTTTTGATGTTCTCCTAATTTTTCGAAAAATTAATTTCAATTCAAACCTATACTAATTCTTATTTGTTGTAAATAAAAGGGGGAATTTCAAAAATACCTCTTTTTCAAACTTTATCAAAAAACCCACTAAAAATATTGAAATTTATCCAAATATGTGTGTAACCTTATAAATATATACACAAATTACCTTTATACGTGTATAAAACTTTATATACCTTTCATAAATAGCGTAAAAATAAATTATAAAAACCTTATAAAAACCTTATAAAACTGTATAAACCCTTTACATTTTAAAATATTTGTATCGAATCTCTCAGTAGTAGTTATTATATAGAAGTACCTTATAAAATATACAAAACTTTATATTTTTTTTTAATTTAAAAAGGGGTATTTTTGAAAATGGATAGATAAAAAGGGTATTTTTAAATAGGGCTACACCAAAAGAGGTATTTCTCAAAAATTCTCTAAAAGAAAATACTACAGTTGTAATTTTCGTAGATTTTAATCCATATTGAACACACATAATCTAGTTATGGGAATTGATACGGGTGGATTCACTACAAGAAAACAAGCGTTTTGGGACTCCGGAAAACGTCACAAAATAGTCGCGAAATGATGGTTTGCGACTGTTGCCCGACTAAATAAAACCGTCCCAAAAAAACGGTCGCTAATTTTTCCAGTCGCTTAATGGTCGCACATTTGCGACAACATTCCGACTGTATATTATCGTCGTAAATAAACAACGATTTTGAGACTGCTAGAAGTAGTAGCACATTTATGACTAAAACGCGACGTATAATATAAACGACATTTTTGTGACTGACAAGATCGTCCCGTATTAAAGACGAGTTTGAGACTAAACTATAGTCCAATGTTGAGACGTTTTAATGACTAAAATGGTACTGTCCTTTGTATTTTGTGCTTGGGATTTAAAAATATTTCGTCCCAAATGTGTCCGAGATAATGAGAGTTTTAGGGACAAACGAGTCGCAAATAAGTCTTTAAATTTTGTGACTACTCTAAGACTATTGGTTTAGTCTCAACTATGTTTCATATTAGTAACCACTATGCGACTAGTTTTGGAGATATTTTATAGTTTGGTTTAGTAGCAAAATAGTCACAGTTATACAAAACTCTTTTAGTCGCAATCTAGTCTCAAATTTATAATTGTTTGGTCACAAATTGGTCAGTATTAGGGATTTCTAAACCTGTAAAATATCGAATTTGAAATGCAATTAATTCTAGAAAAAGACTATTAAAAACACTAATCGTACCAAAATATCATCCTAATCATAACAAAAGATCATCCTAATTAAGTTTACAAATCCATACATTCACCAAATGAGCAAATCAAGTTCATAAGTTGGA